CTTGAGTGCTTTTTTCCTGTTCCCTTGCCCCCAAAACCCCAAAACCCCATAGAGGAAATTGCATTTAAAGTTGAAATTTAATAAGTAATAACCTAATATTAAATCAATAAATTGGAAGTGATGGATCAATCTTTGTTATATATTCTTAGATACCTCCTTGAACATTTTTGACGTTATGAATGTCCAGATTCTTTAAGATAAACTCTGTTGCCTCCTTGCTGGCATTACCTCTTCTGCACATAATGAAGACTGTCTTCTTTTCCTAGGTTAACTTCTTTATTGACTCTGGGTCTTCCATCATCTTCTTAAGTGGAAGATTCAAAGAGCCAGGTAGAGAAACAATATCATATTAGATTTTACCTCTTACATCTACTAAAGCGATGTCATCAGCCTGTTCTTTCAATCTTTCGTATTCTTTTTAGAATTCCTCTACTGTAATGTTGTTCTCTGAGGGAATCTATATCAATGCATACTTATTGCATTTAGTCTAGCAGAAATCGTCGTAATCAATCAGTGAGGGATCTGTGATAGATGGCTCATCACCACATACTTGGCATCTAGGATTTCTATCTCTCAGCTTAACATTTCTGAATCTCATTGAAGCTGCATCGAAGAATATCATTCTTTTAGTCAAAATCTGCTCGTCTTTGAAGCCAAGAATAATCTTGATGATTTCTAGTGCCTCTAAGTTTCCAATAATGCCTGGAACCACTCCTAAGACTCCACCATCAGCACAGTTAGTCACAGTATGAGCTGGAGGAGGGACTGGAAACATGCATCTGTAGCATGGACCTCCATTATAGCCATACACTGTAATTTAACCCTCCATCTGCAAAGCACTTCCTGAGACTAGCGGTTTCTTAAGAATCATGCAAATATCATTAATAAGGTATCTGGCTTTAGCATTATCACTTCCATCCATGACAATGTCCCAGTCTTATACAATTTCCCTTGCATTTTCAGGAGTTAAGTGAGTTTGATAAGTTACTACATCAATATGCCTATTGAACATAGCGATTTATTGCTTAGCACTTAGAGTTTTGTTTATTCCCACTCTATCTTCGGTATGAATGATTTGTCTATGCAAATTTGACTCGTCCACGATATCTCCATCAACTAAGCCAATTGTCCCAACTCCTGCTCCTGAGAGATAGAAGCTTGCTGGAGATCCTAAACCACCTGCCCCAATAATGAGCACTTTAGCATTCTTTAGCTTTTTCTATCCTTCGATACCGATTGATCCCATTATAAGTTATCTAGAGTATCTCATGTACTCCTCATTCGATAGTTCTTTCACTTCTCTTTATTCCATAATAAACAATTGTAATTGAGTTAAATTATCCTCAAATTTGTATTTTCATTAGCAAATCATATGTAATGCTAATGGGGTTTTGGGGTTTTGGGGTTTTGGGG